CTTCAAAATAATCCTCATCATGAATACACATGTTAAGAGGTTTCTATTCTAAAACATATGACTAACAAATGTATTTTACGAAAAATAACACTAATTTATTATAAATAACTAACTTAACTAATTTTTTTAATTTTTATAAATTAATTATTTAACTCTTATATTAAGAATTGACTATAATAGCAGTGCATAGCATAGGTAGCATACATACAAATTCTAATATCTTTCTCATTCAATGCTTCCGTGCTGTTTTGTGTTGGGACTTAAATAGTGAAATTTTTAATACTTCAAGAAGAGGCAATAAAGTGTTATAATCATGTAAACTTAAACGATTAAATATACATATTTTCCTTTTATCCTCTGTCTAATTACAAACATATGTACAGTGCACTTGCACCACTATGATTTCTAAGAGTTAATTAGAATTGGGGTATAAATTTGCTCTGAAAACTTTTACTTAGGAGTATTGGGCATCTAAAAGTTTTTTATAGGGTTTAATATTGTCCTGAAAGTTTAACTATTAACATCAGTTTCTTAACAAAGGTGGATTTGTTATGATTTTAAACTACTGAGGTAACATTGAATTTAAAAACTTTCAGGTACCTAATACTCTTAAATAAAAACTTTTAGAACAAATTTGCACCTCAATACTTAGAATTTAAGATAAGTCTTATGGCTTAAAAGACCAAGGAGACACTTACAAAGAAACTCAAAGAATGCCGCCAAGTCACCAGCCATTTATCAGTTCAGAAATTAAATAAGATTAAACTCACGTTCTAATCGCGTTATTATTAACTGAAGTAATTGTTTATTAACCGGATATCAAAATGGGATAAACCTAGCCCCTTGTACATACAGCATCACTGATAAGTTCAGAAAAGTAATCAATTAATTTATATATATTTATATATATAAACAAGAGACCTGAAATTTTCTGGAAGTTAGTTCAGCAATGTGTGGAATATATATTGTTGTGGAATATATTATTACAATTATAAAGCTTCCTTTTGCTTTGGCAGGACGTGGCCTCTAAAGAAAATGAGATGTCAACCAACAGGACATTTATGTACAAACGGCGGTGACTGAAGATTATAGTTTGAACGTATGGTTCTTACTTTTTTATACAGTACTTGATATGTGATGCTGCCTTCGGTACTTAATATAAAATTTCTTTTGATTTTTATTTTGATGATAAATATAACACTTCAATTATTTTGTCTCTATATTTATTTATTTTTTTAATATAATCCTTCTAATAATAATAATTTTAACCAATAAATTTGATTGATAAGGATATTTTAGGAAATATAACACTTATTTATTACAAGTAACTAATTTAACATGTTTTCTTAATCTACTCCAGTTAATTAACTAGCTTTTATATTTAGAACCAGAGATAGTACTATATATATGTAATCAGATTAAATGTTTGTAGTTTTTGCCCAGTTATAATTTAATTTTTAAATTTTAACTCAGTGTATTTCAGTCTTTATAGTTTAACCCAGTTAAAATTCAATTTTTAAACTTTAATTTGTTATATCTCAATCTTTATAGTTTTAAGTTTTAACTATTTTAATCTTAGGATTTGCAACTAATCTTTATCGAGTGTTAAGGTTAAAGTCCCCTGATAAGTAAATTTTTCAGGATTTAAGTTTGTGTTATTCTCTTTATAAAAGTGATAGTCTCAACCAATTAATATCTTTTGACTCTTTAATTCAACACGTAGCACCGACTTTCTCAATAATAATATAATATTATTAATCTTACGCAAAGCCCGCCTCTTCCTTGCATCCCTTGAAGGCTTGAAATATCACATGCGTGTATGTGTATGGGTCAACCTTTGAAAACACCTGGTAAAAAAAAAAGAAAAAACCTTTGAAAACACATATTCATTCACTTTTATGTTGTGCTGAACCCTCTCATCCAGTTGGTTATGCAAACCCCGTCACAAAAAGTCAAAACATTATAATACTATTATTATACTATCTCTGGTTCTTAATATAAGATCACGTTTGACTTTTATTTTAGTTTTAAATATGAGACCCCAATCTACTTTCTCTCTCATATTTATCTATTTTTTTCAAAATAGTCCTTATAACAATGATAGTTCTTGCCAATAAATTTGATTAGTAAGGATGTTTTAGGAAAGACAATATATATTTATTACAAATAACTAACTTAACTTGTTTTTTTAATATGCTCAAATTAATCAACCAGTTCTTATATTTAGGACCGGAGGTAGTACTACCTTATATCTTTAATGTTATATAACTAATTTGATAAGATTAAGAAAATTAGTTAAGTTGGTTAATTGTAACATATGCATATTGACTTTCCTAAACTATCATATTGAATAATGTGTATTGGAATTATCCCTTAATGAGAATGCCTTACAAGTTACGATTAACAGGAATATTTTAGAGAAAATATTATAAATTTGAGAAAAATGTAAATGGAAGTAGTCTTGTATTTAGAATCAAATCTAATATCCAACTAGTTTTTATATTAAAGAGTGGAATTAATTATTAAATTAATTAAACAGAGCATATGCATTTACGTGGAGTTTAAAATGTCTTATTCTCTTATATTGAGAATATATCATACGATATTGTTAATCTTGGAAATCTTATAACCTTTATTCTAAGTCATCTCAACCGTATCCATTGCCACCAAATAAAAAATGATTTGATCTTAGTTGATCTTGAAGCATAAGTCCGTTAATTATGATTAGGGAAAATAACATCAATCCCCAAAGAATGAAAGATTGTCCCAAAAAAATGAGTTTGTGATTGTTTATTGAATCGACATTTATATTATAACTTATTTTTTAATCCGACTATTATTAAATTGATCTTCAAAAATTAAATTGTCGGTTCCATTATTATTGAATCTTTCAGCTTGAAATTACTACTGTTTAATTTTCTGATTATATTATCGGTTAAAGCGTCACGATCAAGTAAATAAAAAACTAAGAATGAAAGATAAAATTCAATTCTAATATTCGATTGAAGTTTAGCGCTATTTTAATTTATCTTTCCATTTTTTCTTTTTATTTCTTATAATTTAATCAATTCCTTCCCCATGCATATTTCAACTCACGATCTATCAACTTCAAAGAACACTAGGGATACACAATTTCAGGTGGTCTAAATCCTAAAACACTTATCGATAATAATTAGATACTTTTTATAAAATAATACTAAATATACTGTGGATAATATATGTGTAGATTGTTTCTTCTACAATTTATTAACTATAATATTTAATTATTTAAGTTATTGTATTGACTTGTAAGATATTCTTAATAAATATTTTTATAAATTTTGGTTGATTCACGATTTAACTCTGCACGATCGCCTTGTCTCGCTTGATGTGCGAAAATGAAATCAATTGGAAAAAGAGATTTTGTAAACAAAAAGAAACAATTACAATGGACTAATAATACTTTTATTTTCTCTTGAGAGAAGTGACATTGGACAGTGTTAGGTTGTATTACTATTTTTTAGGTTCTTTTTGAGAGTTTTCCTTTTTGTTTTTAGCCTTTGGTGTGTGTATTTCCTTTTTTATCATTAATAAAATAGATTTTCTTTTGTCCAATACATATATATATATATATATTAACAAATGAATTTCTTCATGCTTTTCCAGTCAACATATGCCAAACAGGACCAAAAGTGCTAAAACCTTGAACCATCATCTTGCTTCGGGATGTTCCCAATCAGGAAGGGGGGAAAACGTCGTATGATTTTTTTTTGTGTGTATAAACTCAGAGGCTTTTTAATATATTTTAGATTTAAGATTAATCTCTATTTGATTAAGAACATTAAGGTTAAAGTTCTTATAACAAGTGTACTTTTTGAATTTGAACTTATATATATTATCCTATTTATGAATGTAAGACCACTTGTCATCTTAACTAATAACTTATTTGGTTAATTTAATTTAATACTACAAGAAGTTTTATCTTGTTAAGTGAGATTACTTATGAAACGCACATGTCATTATACTCTATTAATAACTAAATTTTTAGATCAATTTTCAATAATTTTATTGAGTATTCTCTGTTGACGTACTATTCAATATTTCTTACTCAAATGCTACCAAATATAATATATACAAGCAAGAAAAAATATTTGAAGAGATAAATGTTAGTTGTTGAGTTTGTAGAATGCCCTTTGGACTATTTAATTTAATTGGATAGATTCTATAAAGATCTAATTAACACTCATAGTCCTAACTTTAATTTAAAACAAAAATAATTTGAGCCCCCATGATTTATCGCCAATGAGCATACATGCGAACTGTTTTATTTTTTCCCTAAAATTTTGACCTACCATATATTTGAACTTATACTTACAAATATTATATAATCAATTTATATGTAATGCGCTTTTAGTGCCCTAAAGCTCATGTGATCAGCTTTTTAGCTCTTAACAAAAAAGAAAAAAGAAAAAAGAGAGAGTTCAGAGGACTCATGTGAGCACAATAATATGCTCGTCTCACTGAAAATAATAATAAATTTTCTTTAATATATCTTAATTAGGAATAATTATTATTGTTTCTCTTATATATGTATCCGTATAATAATTTATGATTATAAAATTCTAAATCCATCCATTGTTATAAATAAATAATTTAGGTGATGAGACACCAACGCGTTTGCATGATGGTATAATGGAACAGATCATCACAAGCTTAAGTGCCAAATACAAAATTCCAAAACCAATCACAAAATTATAAAATATATTAAAATGTAGCTTCCTATTCTTTTCTTCACAATATAATTAAAATTAAAAAATTCAGATTAAACCACCCTTCCTTCCGTCTTTCTCATTCCTACGCGGCCTCCCATCACAAATTGTCAACCTTATTCATCGCTTACAACTGTCTCCTCTGAAAATTCCTCTTTAACACTCTTTCCTTTCCTCTCCTCCTCCTCCTTCTTCTTCACCACTTCCCTCTATATATATACACACAATTATCAACCACTCAAACGACAAGAACATCGATATTCTCAATTCTCAAGAACAAGCCATTTTGATTTACTTCCATTACACAGTATCTTTCTTCTTCATCTCCAACCAGAAACTGGTTTTTTTCAATATGGGGAACTATGTTTCGTGCACTTTATCAACCCCGGGAAGCAAGAATTTGAGAGCGATCAAGGTGATCTTTCCCGGCGGCGAGATCAAGGAGCTTCGAGCTCCGATCAGGGCGGCCGAGCTGATGCTCGAGAAGCCGAACTTCTTCGTGGTGAACGCGCGTGCCCTTCAGATTGGACGGCGGTTTTCCGCTCTCAGCGCTGACGAAGAGCTCGAGTTTTCCAACGTTTACGTGATGTTCCCCATGAAGAGGCTTAACTCTAAGGTGACCGGCGCCGACATGGGCTCGTTGTTGCTCACGGCTAACGCTGCCGTGAAGAAGGTTAGTGGTGGGAAGGCGAGAGTCTTGCCGGAGAGTTACAGTAATAATAACGACAGCGTGGAGGAGAAAGAAAGTAATGATATGGCGGCGCCGTCGCCGGCGGTGAAGTTGGAGTTAGATGACATAGAAGAATTCTCGAGGCCGGAGTTCATGCACAGGTTATCTATGTGCAGGTCGAAGAAGCCATTGTTGGAGACAATAACAGAAGAACCTGTTTGTTCAAGATGAAGATCATCGAATCAAAAGCTCTGATCTCCTGAAGAAGTTGTGATTGGGGGTGGCATGTTCCATGGTAATTATGAGGGACACGACATCGTTTTAAGTTTCCTTTTTATTTTATTTTTTGGCTTTTGCCAGCTAGAAATATTCGTTTAATTACCTATTATAGGTGTTTTTCCCACCAATTTGGGGCATCACTATTGCTTTATAAGCAAGTTTTTCCATTTGGTGTGGGTTAGGAAAAAAAAGCTTGTTGTATTATCGTGGATGTAATTGTATGTATATTAATTTTTAATTTAATTAAAATTATCATCACATGCTATGTATCATTTATTGTGTTGGGAATTAAAAGTTGTTCCCCTGCAATACTCAAAAGCTGCATTGTTTTGCTTCTAGTCTAAATAATGTTTAATGTTTTATTAAAAAAAATGTTTTGTATGTTTACGTGTCATTTTTTTTTTTTTTTAACCAAGGACAAAATGATATTTGTAATAAATTAAAGTACATAAGTTACAAATACTTAACATTTTTATGTTGACAGAATTAAAAGTAAGAAAATAAGGTATAGAGAAATTATGAATAAGAGTTAGTATTTTTTACCAAGTGATGTTAAAGACAGATGAGTTATTAGAAGGAAATTAAAGTCTCTTCTCAAACTTGTATAGAAAGCTTGTCTGTAATAATATATAAATTGGTGTTATAAATCCATAGTAAGCATTTGCTGCAGAAAACAGACCGTACAAAAAGATTGGTTTTGCCGTCAGAATTCATTAAAGGGTGTCATAGCAAATAATACCATGACAATAATGGTATAAAGTAAAACTATAGATTCCAGATAATTCTGAATGTTGATTTTGTTTTATATCCAGTCCAAACTTTTAAAAATTGACTCTTAATGCTAAGCTGCCTTCTACTGAATTAGACGATATGAACAATTTTCTCTAACAGACGTGGGAAGTATTAAACCTAGTAGCATAGCACTTGTTGGATAAGCAGTATTATGCACCGCTTCGCCCTTCGACATCACTTACATTAGGTGATCTTTTTTTTTTCCCCTTTAATTTGGTGTGGCTTCGGGAAAAAATGGTTTTATATATACTTCTTTAGTCATAGTAATAAGGCAGAATAGGAGGTTCTTTTTTATTTATTTCACAAGTTACCTCATTAAATTTTTAGCATGCATATATTATATTGTTTTTTATTTATTGTAGTGTAAATAGTTTTTTATTTTTAAAAAGTGTATTTCTCGAATAGGAATAAAATTGAAAAGTTGCTATAGTTGAAATGAAACGAGAGTTAATACATGTTTTTTTTAATAATTTATATAAAACATACTGAAGGATCAGAGAAGTATCAATCAATGTAATTGCATGTATGCTTTTTTTTTTTTTTTGCGGTACAATGTGTGTGTACTAATTTTAATTTAAAACTATCAGAAGAGCTTTTTTTTTTTGGGGCCAAAATATTGTTTTGGGATTCGGGGGTGTTTGGATGAAACCAAACTATGATTTGAAGAATAGCTTTTGGAGAATAGATTTTGTGAAGAATAGATTTTGTGAAAAAGTGATTCTGAGAAGTGAGAGTGTTTAGATAATTGTTATCAGAAGCACTTTTTATATGTACAAATTACTAAAAAGAGCATAAGTTAATATGATAATTACATAAAAAATAAATTTTATGATATATTTTAATTTGAAGGAATAAAATTGTTAATAATATATTTTTTACCAATATAATTAATAATACATAAAATAAAATAATTAATATGTGTATATATTTATAAAATATAAGATTAAATATATTTATAAAAAAATAATTGAGGGGTGTTAAAGTCATATTATTATTGAAATATACTCTGACAGGTACAATCATACTTTCTAATTTAAGCCAAAAACAAAATGAACTTACTTTTCTTGAAACCATGGTTTTGACTTGAAACCGCGGTTTGTTAATTTTCCTCCCAATTTGACAAATTTAAGACACAAACCATGGTTTGGTCTTAAAACTATGGTTTCATCGTATTGTCAAACACCTCCTCAGTTGTTGTTCCGAGAATAGTCAAAAGCCACATAATTTTGCTCCTTTATGTTTCCCTTCAACCGCCCATGTCAAGTTTAACTTCCATTTCTGTCCTAATTATGAAAGAGATTCATTGAACTTATCATTAAAAAAGAAAAAAGAATACTGCAATCGGCGCCATTCAAGGAGAGGGCCATCTAGCTGGGGAGTTTAGGCTTTTCCATTTTCATCCAAGACATTGTTAACATAAAAGTTAATTTCATGTTTAACTTGATTTTATTTATTTATTTTAAATTAATTTTCATGATAATTATGCATATTAAAGAGTTTTTGTCTTAATATACATGATTAATAAGAGTATTTTAAGAAAGTAAATATCAATTTATTATAAATAACTAATTTAACTAATATTTTTAATATTTATAATTAGTTATCTAGTTTTTATATTAAAATAGAAAATAATATTATTAATATATATTATAAAATTTATATCATTAAAATTTTTGGAAAAATTACTATAACATTCTAAAAAATGAATACATTTACTAAAAATCTCATAATAACTGAGCATTTTGTAATAATAAATCTCAGTGTAAGAATTACTTTAATTCTCCCAAAAAGTTTTTGATCTGAAGTATTGGAGCTCATTCGTTTTTTTAGTTTGCAATTACCTTTTTACCCAGCTTCTCGTAGTCATGGGCAATTCATAACTGAAAGGAAAGTATTTGTTTGGCGCCATGGATACGAGTCCTCGCGGGAAGAATCCTGAACCAGAAACCGTTCTTTCTTGTAGACCCATCAGCCATTGATGCTTCGTCTGCCTTCCGCTCATTCACGGAGAAACACACAGCTACACAAGCTTCTTCCTTGGCTTCTCTTTCATCGCAAATGCCCAAATCCCAAACCCTAAGTTCGCTTGAGCTCTTCCACAGTGCTTTCCAACGCCTAAGGTCGTCGCCTCCCTCTCAGTCAGTCTCTCTCCAGCCCTCCCACTCCCCTCTTCCGCCGTCTTTCCCCCAGTATAAACTCATCCCCAAAACCCGGTTTTTGGTGGACGCATTCCGCCATGCCGGCGATTACTCTGTTGCCTACTTCCTTTCCCATTTACACTCTGATCACTACACTGGTCTTGGCTCTAATTGGTCTAAAGGCATTGTTTATTGCTCCAACACCACTGCTCGACTTGTCGTTGAAGTGCTCGGGGTTCCTTCGAAGTTCGTAGTCCCTTTACGGCTCTGTGAGCCTGTTGAGATTGATGGGTGTGAAGTCACTCTTATTGATGCGAATCATTGCCCTGGGGCTGTGCAATTCTTGTTTAAAATTCCGGGTGTTGATGGAAAGTGCGAGAGGTATGTTCACACGGGAGATTTTCGGTTTTCTAAGGCAATGAAGTCAGAGCCTTTACTTGCTGCATATGTTGGTGCCGATGCCGTATTTTTGGACACAACCTATTGTCACCCAAAGTTTCAGTTTCCTAGCCAAGAAGAGTCTGTAGCTTATATAGTTGATGTAGTTGAGAGGGCTGAAAATGAAAATGATGGTTCTATTGGAATGTTCTGTTCCTTGTTGCTACTTATGTTGTTGGGAAAGAGAAGATTCTGCTTGAACTTGCTCGTAGGTTTAAACGTAAAGTGCATGTGGATGCTAGAAAAATGGAGGTTTTGCGGGTTCTTGGGTATGGGGAAGGCGGGGACTTTACAGTTGATGACTCTCAAACTAATATTCATGTTGTTGGGTGGAATGTGTTGGGTGAGACATGGCCATACTTTAGACCTAATTTTGTTAGAATGAAGGAGATTATGACTGAGAGAGGGTACTCTAAAGTCGTGGGTTTTGTTCCAACTGGATGGACTTATGAAGTGAAGCGCAATAAATTTACTGTGAAGTCGAAGGATTCATTTCAGATTCATCTTGTACCATATAGTGAACATTCTAACTATGATGAGCTCAGGGAATACGTAAAGTTTTTGAAACCAAAGCGTGTTGTTCCTACAGTAGGTGTAGATGTTGACAAAACTGACAGTAAACATGTGGAGAAGATGATGAAGCATTTTGCTGGGTTAGTTGATGAGACAGCCAACAAGCAGGAATTTTTAAAGGGATTTCATTTTACATCTAGTGAAGGGGGCTTCAAGTTTGACAAGGATGATAATGATGCCATGAAGCCAGGGCAGGACATGGAGGCAGAAGTGAAGTTATTTGACAAGGGAGATGATAAGAGTATTAATCCAGATATTTCTCTAAATTTGTCTTCTACTCTTGAGGAACCTGACTTGCGGGATCCCACATCACTAAAGGATGAGGAAACAGAGAAGATCGGTCAAGAGATGTCTTGTTATTTGCCCGCATGGGTGACTCAGGGACAAGTTCTAGAGCTGATCAGCAATGCAAGGGGCAATGTGGTTGAAGCTGTTTCTAGTTTCTTTGAACGTGAAACTGAATTTCATGATCAAGTATTTTCCTGTCAAACGTCTGTTTCTGCATCCACATGCTTATCCGATGGCAGTGATTTGCTTTCAATAGCCCCCGTTGTTAGTAGTAAAACTTGCTTGAGTGTTGACATTTCACCAAGTCAAGACTTTAAGTTATCCGCCCCGAGAAATTCAGTAGCAAGTAGCATTTCTCCTGCTAAAAGGAAGAGAAATAGTGAAAGAAAGCTAAACAAGAAAGTAAAAGTCCATACAAAATCAGAATCAAGTGGGCCAAAACAGTCCAGGATAACAAAATTCTTCACTAAAGCCTTGCCTGACATCACCCAATCTGGTAATTTTGAAGCCAGTACTGATCAAAGCCCTAAAGATGAAAACTTGCTACAATTTGATGTTGAAAAAGCATATGAGGATGAGATCAACCAGTTCATGCAGATAATAAATGGCGATGAATCATTAAAAAGTTATGCTATCACAATAATTGAGAAGACGAAAGGAGATCTAAATAAGGCATTGGACATATATTATCGTAATCCTGGGAATTTTGCTGAGAATGAAAAATCAGTTCAACTTGAGTGCAAAGTGGACAACTCTTCGGAAAGGAAATGTGTGTCACAGGAATTAAGATCCACACCACATGATATTTCTGTGCGAAGCATATCCAGAGAGAGTGTAGATGCAACTCTTGTACCTCTACCACCTAAAGAATACAACCCTAAAGAACACGGTTTGTATTAATTTCTTGCTTTTCCTTTTCCTCTTTTCTGGATATATTAATTCAGGAGTTCTTCAATTTACTGATGC